TGGGAGCCGAGACAGATTTGGACAACTCTAAATGCGGGTCAAAGCGGAAAAATAGCCTTGGAATGTCGAAAATCAGTCGTGAAACGTATCTAATATCAATTTATATTTAAAAACACAAGTCCGACCTCTCCAAGTTGTTCTAGATAACGTTTAGATATTGCTTATCTCATGTCAGTGTTTGTCGCTGCAGGTTGCGATCACGTGATCATGGATTTCGTGCTGCATTTGTTTGATTTTTCTCTCGGGCGAGGACAGGGGTTCATATCAGTGTGTCTGTATATATATATATATATATATATATATATATATATATATATATATATATATATATATATATTTATACACACACACACACACACACAACACACCCGTACGCACACACACGTCCGCACGCACACACATACACACGCATGTACGCACGCACGCGCACACACACATATATATACATACATACACACACACACACACACACACACGTACGCACGCACACACATACATACATACACACGCGCGCGCGCGCACAAACACATAAATGTCTGTCTTTCCGTCTGTGTCATTACCTACCTCTTTCCCCCCACTCCCTCGCGAGGAGAAGCCCCTTGCCTAACCCCCTTCCCCCCTCCCCCAGTCGGGAACGGCGAGGCTCGGGCGAGTCGCTGCTGGAGAGCGAGGGGAGCGGCCAGGCCTGCTGGTACGACGCTCCCCCGCCCTACGTCGAGGTCGTCCCGCCGCCGCCCTCCTACCAGGAAGCCGTCTCGCACGTGGAGGTGAGGCGCCCGCACCCTTTCTCGTTGTTTTGAATTTCCTATTTATTTTTTTTTCATTCTGTGTGGGCAGTTTTTTCTGTTGTAAGGAATTGTTTATGATTGCATTGCCTATGTGTTTTAGGCATTTTTCAACTTTTTTTCTGAATTTTCTTGTGAGTCCCCGTATTAGAGACTAGTTGTATATATATATAAAGAGTGATGAGATCTTGGCAGAATGAAAGCCAGGATGATGGTGTGGTAGAGATGTGACAAGGTGATGTCCAAAAATAAACATCAAGATTTCTGATAACTAAATTCCCAAGGGTAATCATTATAGATAATAGTTAATAAAGAAAATACTAGATCTGATATTTTTTACTAGTAACTGAATTATCAACTATGCCCATTCTTAACACACACACACACACACACACATAAATGTGTGTGTGTGTTTGTGTGTGCACACACAATGTATATGTATATACATATTCATATGTATATGTATATACATACACATATGTATATGTATATACATACATACACACACACACACACACACACACACACACACACACACACACACACACACACACACATATATATGCACACATATATATGTATCAGTTTAAAAGCTTCCTTCCCAGCCTCCTAAAGCGATCTCTTACATTTCCTTTTCCAGAAAGCCTCACCAGCAATCGACGCGCTGCCGGCCTCCAGCGACGACGCATGCGCATTTGCACCGCCCACCGGTTTCGCAAGGACGTCCTGCGACTTCGACTTCCCTTCGGCCTTCGACACGAGGCCACCGCAGGACCGGGTCGCTGCGCCCGTTCACTCTGTCACCGCGCAGCACAATGACGTGGCAATACACATATGAGGCGGCTACGAGGCTATCGTTGCGCTTTTCATGAATCTGGCCTTTGGCGCCGCATTAGCAAGTCCGTACGTGGCTGACAAGCTAAACAAGGGAAGGCCGAACGAACGGTCGTTATCTGAAACGCCACTGGAAAGAGGTCGATTTATTTTTCAAATGAGAAAAGAAGTCGTTACCCTTCCTCTGTTTAACCGTAACCAAGTAACAACTTCAGTTGTTACAATACCGTGTATATCTTTGCATCTTTTTTAACATGTAAAAACACCATACTCTGTATTTTGTTGCCATTTATATGTTAGTAAGATTGACTAGTATGTTACTCTATAGTATGATTTCGGCGAGATGTCAATATACTTGTCTGTTTTCGACACTGTCAGTACGTTAGTATCTCTGACTCAGTGTTAGTATATTTGACTCAGTGTTTTGTCACTGTTAGTGTTAGTATATTTGACTCAGTGTTTTGTCACTGTTAATGTTAATATATTTGACTAAGCGTTTTGTCACTATTAATATGTTAGTACCTTTGACTCAGTGTTTTGTCACTGTTAATACGTAAGTATATTTGACTCGTTATGTCACTGTTGTATATTTGACACTAGGCATTTGTTTCCATTAACAGTATTCTTCCATGTTCTATGTGTCCCCACTGTATTGCATCATCCCTTACATCCCAGTTTTCTTTATTAAGTCTGCCTTTCATTTTCATCTCAGCATCCATTATGCCTAAAGAGAGGGCAAAGTACATTAACTTATATGAATGCATCCATATGGCATTCTTGAATGAGATCTTCCTCGCCTGTTTTCCCTTTTCGAATATTTATTGATCTTTTTTGTCACTCCTATTCCGTTTTCTTTATTTCAATAAAAAATGCAGGGTTAAGTTTGTTTCAGTTGATAAACCACACCGAAGCATTTGTAAGGATTCAAGGTAAAAAAGATAAACAAGAAAATATATATGTATATATATAACAATATCAGTCACTGTGGTAACGGGATTGAGATAATTTCATTCTTAGTTCGGCTGAGATGATCAATAACAACATAGTAAGGACATCCTTTCAAGATGTCTTCAGAATGCAAAAAGAAAAGAAAGAAATTGAAAAAAAAGGATTCGGAAACGTGTCCGGTGATAATACATAAGTTACAATATCGAAAGAATGCTGGGAATGAAAATGGGAAAAAAAAAATATCAAGGACAAAGTGCGACATTAACAGGTGATCTGCAGACCGTAAGAGATCCTCCTCCAGGAATGCGTAAAATGTGTTTCACGTGTTTGATGTGAATTTGACCTTAACGCAGTAGTGCAAACGGGTGCATGTAGGGTTGGACACCACTGTACAACAACCAACATATGTCTAACATTGTTAGCACATGTTTGCAGTACAAAACTTGTGTCACTGTTAACAGATACATGCAGTAACTAATATGTGTATGTGAGTGTCTAAATATGTCCGTAATGTCCAATATATCTCAACATATATGTGTCAAACACATGTACTAATGCCGCAATATATGCACCGTGAGATACCGACCTGTTGCTTAAACAATTAAATATATAGATGTTAAACATCCGAACAGTTGAGAGCTGTGTCCAACTGAATTAACCTACAAATATAAATAACATTACACTTCTAAAATATAGATATGGGAATAGATATATAACTGCCATGTCAGAAACATCACAGGTGTTCACTCGACTGATAAATAAGGAAATGCATCATGAGAACGATGCCTCGGGGCTGCTGCACACACAACAGCTGGACAACTCTGCAGCGGTGGATGAAAGACTCGGTAAGACTCTTCCTGGAATCCTCTGCTCTTATGTCACAATCAAACTTTGTGAAAAGGCAGGACGGCCTCAGTCGTTAAATAATGGAAGACACGTTAATTGCAGTTGCCAGGAGCTTGCATATTTTCAGTCTGTCTTATGAAGAATGCAACGTATTTTCGTCTCATCGCCTCCCTGTCCATCCTCACACTTCGCTGATGCTCGGGAGACCCCACTCACTCGTAAGTATCATCTTTCTGTCGTCGTGCTTCTGAGAAGATCGAATGCCGTACTTGAGGATGTCCGTTCCGAGGTAGAACTTGAGGTTGTCTCGAGGGCTCTCCCCAGCCTTCCTCGTGCCCTGGGCGGTGGGCTGCTCCGTCGCCTCCTCTCCGGCCAAGTCCTGAGGGGAATCATCTCCCTTGGCTTCAGACGGAGAGGTATTCCCTTCGGCACAGTCTATCGCCATTTCTTCCTGCTTCGGAACTGCCTTGTTCTCTTGCCTCTCCTCCTTATCCTTGCGCATTTTCAGGTCTTGGGCGGTGGGAAGCCCGGCGGCCTTGAGGTTCTGGCTCTGGGGACTGAGGAATACCGCCAGCGGGATGAAGACGGCGGGGATGGCCACAACCACGTGGGCCAGCCAACAGACGACATTGGTCCAGTGCTGCGAGACAAAGGGAGAAATTGAATGGTTACCTTTCAACAAGTTTCGATTCGAACACAACTGATGAGGGAGTTAATGGATGGGCACAGAAAGGTGGAAAGTCTATTCAAAATGCTGCTTTTATAACTAAATTATCTTCCACTTACAGTTATGCACTCTAAACATATACATAAATGGAAAATAAGACAAGGCAATGAAAGTTGACTTACCGGACCATAAACACAGTAGAGGATGAGCACAAGAGTAGGCTTGAGCGGCCACGCCCAAAGTGCGCCGATTGTCAACACTGCGTCTCTCGCCCAGCCCTCCACGCTGCCCAGGCCTGAAGCATCGCAATGAGTAAGAATTAAAGGCACACTGATTCAAAACAAAGAAACATATAGGAGTAAATCCCCTTGAAAATCGAGTACACTGTCATTTCTCATTAAAACTGCTGATCATGGTTGGGGAATAAGCTGTTTATGGTACAGACTATATCAGGACTTATACCTGATGTAATTACTAAAACCTCCTGACATTATAATTCTATATGGGAACTCTCTATTCGAAATCCATTTGTACTCTCACAAATGTATCCCATAATGTTTTTTTTTGTATTCCCTGCATTGCAAAATTGGCCTTCAAAATATCTGAAGAGACAATTACATCATGCACTGTTAATCTTGAAGACAGACTGCAACTTGACCACTTTGTAGACTAGAGGAACTGCATTGTGGACAATAGCAAGTAACTTCAAATATCAAATAAAGAAAACAATATAAAGCAATGTGTCTGCTGTGGAAAGTGAAAAAGCCAAGACCCAGTGCCCGGAGGCCAAGCCGTGGGTCTTGTCCGCCCGACACGCGACCACCTCGTCAGTTCGAGCTCACCTTCCTCCTCCTCGTGCATTTCCTCCTCCTCCTCCCTCATCATGACCTTGGATGACCTGGTGGCGACGCTCACCACTAGGGCCAGGATCACCAGCAGGAGCGTGAACAGTGCCGCCCATTCCAGGAAGAGGCTGATGACGTAAGCCTGGGTGATGTGCGCGTCGCAGATGATGCTGTCTGTAGGGGAAGAGGCCGGAGGCGTCAAGAAAGGACTTTGGGAGGCGGCTGTTGTCGAGAAGTTCTAGTCTAAACAGGATAACATTAGCAATGACTAAAATATAGTCAAATTAAATTAGTATTATACCTGTGTATTTCTATCTCTTACCATGATTCATTTGTCATAACACTCCTCTATCACTATTGAAATCAACACTATATCAGAAGCAGAGGCCATCAAAAAGTCAGTCTACTTGTTCATAAGCATAAAAAGCACAAGCGGGGTTCCTGTAAGGCACTTACAGAGGAAGTAGCCCGCGGCGGTGAACTCGGGCTGGTGGGGAGCGAAGTGGGGCGTGGTGCCCCCGAGAGTTCTAACTAGCACCGTCACGGCAGCTGGCACGCCCACTAGCACCCCCGCCCCTGCGCCCACGCCCCATGAGCCCCGCGGGTGAAGGAGTGGCTGTAAAGGTAATGTCAAGATCATGATATTCGAAGAACATTTTTGTCAATTCTATCGCTATTATATTATAGAACAAATGCATATTGTTGTCCATGAAACGCAGCCACACAACCACACGCATATACTGGACGCGCAAGACGCCTTACCCTCCTGAGAATGGCGAGTCGGGCCACGGCGGTGAAGGCCAGGCTGTAGGCGCAGGACGACGTGATGAGGTCCTGCTCGTCGCTGCTCCAGGCGACGGGCGCGAGGTTCGAGGTCGTGACGGGGAAGGCGGTGAAGGAGGCGGTGGGTCTGGCCGACGAGGGCTCGACAAACACCTCGCGTGGAGGGCTCTGAGCCTCGGCGGTCAGCGCCTTCAACCCCGTGGTCGCTCTCGTGGCCCGCGACAGCGCCTCTGACCTGCTCGAATACACCTCGCCGTTGCTCAGGTCAATGTACTCCACGGTGAACTCGTCGCTACTGCCGCTCTCGCCGCTGTCGGCGGTCCGCGGCTTCACGTGGCGCACGGCTTCGTGGAAGGAGCCGCGGCCGAGACGGAGCTCGTCCACCGCGTGGCCGCCGCCATGGAGGTCCGCCAGGTCGTGCTTCAGCGCCGACAGGGTGAAGGGCGCCCACACCGCCGTCAGGTACACGAGGCTCACCACGATGATGGAGGTGACCAAGAGGCGCTCGGCCTTCCTGCCGTCTCCTGGAGGAAGGTAGCAATCAGCGTTTGGGTCTCCATCATAACCATACATGCATTAAAGCACTTCTCGCTCATATTGTGATTCATATTGTTCAGCAACGCGAAGTGGTACATGTTCCAGAGTCGCCGCGAGGCACAACCACAAATTGCACCCAATAAGACAGCTCAGAGAGAAATTGCATTTAATCAAGCTGAGGAACTCACCTGACTTACTTCTGCTGCTGCAGGAGAGTCGCCAGAGGGCCACCCAGTTGACGATGGACAGCGTCGCGATGAAGATCAGCCGCAGCACCGAGACCAGCAACGGCGACATCCACTCTGGCGTCATCCTGCGACCGAAAAAAATACCATCAAAGTATAAAAAATAATTACTCGACTACTACTTATGCTTCACCTCAAACAATAATTTTACGCTAAACTGTAGTTAAAAACGTTCTTGAAACGTTTAAACTTGCTGCATGAGCACAAGCGCGGCACACTGAAAAGGTGATATATAATAAGATATGGTCTAATTGCTCTATAGTCTGTTTAACGTCCTATGCGACCGCAATAACGCGGAGGGGTCGTTAGGCACGCGATATGTGTTGCTAATATTCCTTTTTTTATTCCCCAACCACAGAATTGCGAATTCAGGAAATTATTGCACCTGTGACTACACCTTCCGCTTGTGCCGGATTCAGTCAGACATGTTATAGCAACAAACACACACTATAACTCCTATAAATATTAATCTATTAGTTAGTCAATCCAGCGATTTATCTGTTTATTTATCTATCTATCTATATGGATGTGATACCATAGTATACAGATATGAATGTATAGAAAAAATATTGATAAAGAAATGAGCGTACTGACACACAGAAAGGTAGGCAGATCTAAACGAGCATACATGGCACAGAGTAAAAACTAGAGCATGCGAAAAGTGATAGCTAAAATAAGAGCTGGTTTTCGTAATGAGATGCAGTGCTCTCGTCAAGACATGGCTCGCTGATCTAGGTCTAATTTGCAAACATTTGCAAAATACAATGTTCACATCAAGTTATTCAGGGTGTGAATAAAGCCTGGCCAGATTCTTGCTTGCATCATCCCCGAGGCAATGACAATATTCTCTCTTTATTTTACTTTGAATTCCGCGACGTCTTCATCCCGGCCGCTCTCTGAAACTCACCGAGATTCCGGAGTTCGCTGATTTTGTGGTAAGCGGTTTTATATCCCACGTTTGAGTCGCGTAACAGATGTATGATTGGGGACATCTTGAATTGATGCGAGGC